GTGTGTTAGTGTGCGTGTGTTAGTGCATGTGTGTGCTGCAATGTGGTACCTCAATAGGAGTTTTTCTGTTTATGCCTATATATATATTCTATAATGTACACGTGTTGTCTTTTTACATGTGCTTACTTAACTAACTTGAGGGTGCGGTGGCGGAGCGGTTAGTGCGCTCGTCTCCGAAGCGGAAAGTCCAGGTTCGAGCCTCGGTTCGGACACGGAATTTTTTCGCCCCCTCCTGCCCACCCAGCAGTAATGGGTACCTGACTTCCAGTTGGGGAAGTAAAGGCGGCGTGGAAAGGAATTGGCCACCCTACCACAATATGCCGAAGGCCTAGGAAGTTGTCTCATTAACAAGGCAATCCCCAATGTCCGGATCGGATGCGGGAACAACTTTACTTTTTTTTAAACTTAACTTTCTTTGGTGGAACAAAACAGAAAAGAACGGCGCAGAGGAAAAATATATCCTTTGCACTATATCTATGGCTCTGGAATTTTTAAGGCCTGAGTGAAGAGTTTATTAATGAAACACAGTAATAAGGAGTTCATTCAAACAAAAATGTATGGGACAGACAGATTTTCCAAGTTTAGCTGGGTTTTGGTTGAGAGAGGTCGCTCGACTAACAGAAGAGAAAAAAATGGGGTTTAGATTTTAATTCGGTTTACCGCTTTGTTCAATGTTCTGTTTAAGCGGACTCCGCTATAATATGTGTACTGAAATAATTTAAATGTTCTGAGTGCAAATGTGTGTGCTTCTGTGTGCATATAAGTGTGCGTGTGCGTGCGTGCACTCGTGCACTCGTGCACGCGCGCGTGCCAGTGTGTGTGTATGTGTGTGTTTGCGTGTGTATGAGCATGTGTGTACATGTGCGTGCGTGCAAGTGTGTGTGTATGTGTGTGTTTGCGTGTGTATGAGCATGTGTGTACATGTGCGTGCGTGCCAGTGTACTATGTGTACGTTGTGTATGTATTTTTAAAATGTATCTTTTCTCACTTATTTCATCTTTACTTTCAATTGTCATTACGGCATGATATTAATTGGGCTTACCAACATCGACGATACAATAATAACCCAAAAATTTCAGAGGCAAGGAAAAGATGGCAGAAAAAATTGCTCTGAGGTAATCAATCGGTGTCAAAAGAGAAAACTGTAACAGTAAGAACGTAAACCTTGCCCGTATAGATTATCATTGCTTAATGTTTTTGAGACGGCCCCCAACGCAGGCACTTCAAACTGTGACGTCATCCACTGCGCTGTCCCCGATGTGCTCTCTACGCATGGTTGCATGATGGGTCGTCTCAAAACACTTATATAATTCTCCATCTTCATGAATGCACGAGGCAGATTGTGCAAATGCTAGGGAAAGATGGAGTAAAATTTGGCTTGCGGTTTTCTTGCAAACCTTCTGAAAGCTTTATTTTTGCTTTTGTAAACAATGAGATATGGCACAAATGTAATATTAATTTTGACCACTCAGACTACTTTGAAATGCCCCCTAATCTATTTTTAGACATTTGGAAAATTCAGGCGCCCCGCAGCTCATGTGACTGCGTGGGCCTGCTTAACAATGAGTCATGCGACAGATTGCATAACTCTTGCGTCAGCCGCAACGCAGGCGGGTGGAATATAAAAGGTTCATGAGCCGCTACGCAGGCAGATCAACACTCACCGCTACTACAAGAGCGATCAAGAAGAAACTGCTGACTACGACCAAAACCTCTTTGACAAAGACAGAAATTATCTGGGCTGAGACCTGCGGAGCTGACAAGTTTTTCAATCAGTGTGACAGCAAAGAAAAGATTGCTTCCGTGAGTTTGCTTACTATTTACCATCTTATCCTACACACACCTCGAACCCACCACAAACAACCACCACTTCCATCTCTGACTACAATCCCCCCCCCCCCCCCTTTTTACCCCCTAGTAGAAGCATAGAAGAGGAATATAATTAACAGTAACGTCGAACTTATCCCTAAACACGTCACGTTTGAAACTCTATGTTTCATAAACATAACATCATTCAGCTAAACAAACAATGTAATGCACATAGCTGAGATGACAAAGGTGAGAAATTTTCCACAAGACCTGCACACTGTACTGCTTTGCTTCAAATGCTGTGCGTTAAAGTAATATATTATTATAGAGCGTGGGCTTTGAGAGAGAAAGGGGAAAATGTTGTCATCAGCTACTGGTTTTTCGTTTCTTACTAGTTTTTATTTTTATTTAGCCATCCATTATTCACGTGCTGTATTGTGATAATATAATAATCTGGGTACAACTTGGAAGTAGCTTCCCTTTTAATGTTGGGTGGTTGGCGGGTGCTCTGGTGTGGTTTGCTCCTTCTTTCCTAGCAAAGATCTATCGTCCTTATCTCCCCTTATCCTTTTTTATGTTTGTTTCTCTCTTGTAACACCTCTAATCTTCTGGCGCTCATATGACCTTATGCAGTTGCGAGCACTGTAAAACCTCTACTTTTAATGCTCACACCGGGATTACAAACGATGTACTCTAAAGTCAAACGTCATTAATAATCTTTTTTTTTTTAAATCAAAAGAGCGCAAATGAATGTTTAGCTGACAATGGTTTTTGATGTTGAGGGGCGCTGGCTTATTTCTGTCTCTATGTCTGTTTCGGTCCGAAAGAAGTGACACTCTTGGTGCTTGCTCTCACTGGGACATAGGCTAAAGGGGCAGAGGTAGACCAATAAGAACTTTTTTTAGAAACTTCAAGAAATGTTAAACTAGAAAAGACAAGATGGTGATTGGTTTGTTGTTGTTTTGTTGTTGTTTTTTGTTTTGTTGTTGTTGTTGTTTCGTTGTTTTTTTTTGTTTTTTTTTGGGGGGGGGGGGGGGGGGGCTAGTGTATCTGAGTAGAGAAATTCTCCGAGGTCTTTCAGTTCTGGCACTTAAAGCAATCTAATTATTAGAATTCTTTTAATTCCTTCTTCTTTCTCATTACAGAAAATCAAAGCCATTGAATCATCACAAACCATCCAATCAAATCGCTGACTGAGCAGACGACAATGGAAGTGACGGTCAAAGCGTTTCTGCAAAGAGCTGACGACAACAGGGAGGTGAGGAGACTGAGCTTGCTCCTGGGGCCAGGTGGTGCCATGTTCAAATCTTTGTCTGGCAAAGTGGCTTCAGCGTTCCCAGGTCTGAGCGGGAAGAAGTTTGTGATCACGTGGGAAGGTGAGTTAGACAATTTTGTTCTTGAGCGCTTTTGTATATTATACAGTTAAGTATGTATGTGTGTATGTGTGTTCTTGTGTGTGCGTGTGTATGTGTGTGAGTGTGTGTGTGTGTGCGAGAGAGAGAGAGAGAGAGAGAGAGAGAGAGAGAGAGAGAGAAAGAGTGGATAGAGAGAGAGGGAGAGAGGGAGAAGACCGGGGTGGGGGGGGGGGGGAAAATGTGAGAGAAGGGCACAGATTAAGAGAGCGAGAATATGAGAGAGCAGGGCAGCGAAAGGGAGAGAGAGAGAGAGAGAGAGAGAGAGAGAGAGAGAGAGAGAGACAGAGAGAGAGAGAGAGAGAGAGAGAGAGAGAGAGGAATGGGGTGAGGGTGGGTGTGTGTGTGTGTGTGTAGAGAGATAGACAGATAGAAAAAGAGAAAAGTACAGACTAGCAATAAAAATCTTAATACAAAATCTGAAACTATAAACATGTATCACTGTGTGTTCCCTCCCCAGACCCGGACGGTGACTTTGTCCAGATGTCCACTGATGAGGAGTTACAAGAAGCTCTGACACATAGCTCCACAGGACGGCTCAAAGTCTACATCAATGGTGAGTCTCTCTCTCTCTCTCTCTCTCTCTCTCTCTCTCTCTCTCTCTCTCTCTCTCTCTCTCTCACTCTCTCTATCTATCTATATATCTATCTATATATCTATCTATCTGTCTATATGTCTGTCTGTCTGTCTCTCTGTCTATCTTTCTGTCTGTCTGTCTTCTATGATTTAGTAAAAGGCTATCGAAACGCACCAAAGATGCTAACACCGTACTCTGCGTAGTTCATAAACAAATTCTGTACTTGTTTAGAACACACAAACTCAGAAATGTTTCTATCTTTGTCTCAGTCCCGCAGGACGTGAATGTAGTTCTTTCTGTTGGCTCGTAAGCTCCCACGGGGTCCACTGAATAACAAGCTAAAAGCAGAGTTATTTTAGATCTTTCGTATTCAAAATGATGTTGTCCCAATATACATAGTATCAATATACACCTTCCACAAATATGTTCTCTACTAAAAAGATGAAAAAACCCTGAAATGAATAAATCATTGAAGTCATTGGCATATTTTCCGACGAATAACATCCTCTTACATTGTTTGCCCTATATTCAGTAGTTGATGGTCAATCCGGCAATGTGGAGCAGATGATGGAGGAAGAGGCGGGGCTTAGCACAGATCCGGAGTCAGAGGTCACTCGTGTACGATACAACAGAGACGACCCCATTGCTGTCAATCACGAGGGCTTGCCCCTCCCACAAGCCCCACCCACTTCTCTGTGCGGAATGTTTGGACAACAAGGCGGTCTTGGATGTAGGAGGCGAAGAGGTCAGAACCACGGACCCTGGAAGAGAAGGCACCAGTCACCGGCTGGGCCATGTGGCCCATGTGATGGCCAGAGACAGATGGCTCAGGGGCCACTTGCTGGCAAGCGAGAGAAGAGATGCGAAAAGCGAGACTGGAAGAAAGCGCTGAGGGTAAGTTTTTTTTTTCTTTCTTAAACTTGATTGACTGGCAGTTATGATATTTATAAAGGAAAAATCACTTTACCAGAGAATGAAACCCTTTGAAGATCACCATCAAAACATGTTATAGACAGAGACACCAACTGGTGCGGAAAGCGCCTTAAAAAAAAACCCCAGAATAAATACAGAAGTATCTAAACTTATCAGTATCTGTATCTTGTCCACTATCTTAAATGACCACTGTCTGTGTCTTGTCCAGGAATCTGTCCCCGTGAGCCAGCGTCGTTGGGCCAAGATCTACGTCCACAACTGGAGAAAAGAAAACCTCGAGAACGTCAGCACGACGACATTCAGCGACAGCGGGCAAGAGAAGAAGGGGAAGACCATGACGAGGGAGGAGGCCGGAGTGCCGGAGGCTTACGAGGTCTGGCTGGTCAAGGTGTTGACCAAGTTCCACAAGAGATGGGAGACAGCGGAAGTCTGTGCTGCGGGGCATGATGGGAGTGATTCTGATGAAGGTGGCGCTGTCAGCAATATGGCGACTCTCAGGGTAAGTCGTGTGTGGGAAGACATTCCGCTGATGACCGAGCATACGATATTATATTGTGTCACTAGAATAAAATGTTCACAGTGAAGGAAAAGCAAAAATGATTATTTCTTTATAGCGACTATGTTCTGCTCATTGTTGCCATAACTTACCAAAAGTTATTTTTCTTAATTAAGGGATAGACCCAATGCTTCTCTGAAATAGAAAAAAAATGTGTCTCAATTTGAAATTGACAAATCTCACATTAATCTGACAAAAATCGTATTGAGCTTTTTCGCTATCATTCTACATCGAAACTCTTAATTATGCACGTTATAATAATAGACATAAAAGGATCAAAAGAGGAATCATACCATTCATATGTTTATATTGGAATTTGAAATGCGGTACAAACGTCCACATACCTGCTCATCGGCTTAGTCAATGAGTTTACCCACTCGTGAACGTGAAATTGACGGCACACTCAGGAAACATATAAAATGTTGGTTACAATAATATCACAAATCAGACAAGATGACTTACATTTCCCTTTAGGACAACGGACCTCGAATGCATGTCTTGCGTCATATAAACATTGTTAAACCTGCTGTTCAGTTTTTAACAATATTATTTCTATGTATTTCTTAAACAAAACTCCAGTATCATTTTAATAATGATGATAACCACTTTTTCCTACAGAAATCTGTGCCTGTGGAATTCCGCCGGTGGATGAGATGGTACCTGGCCAGACGTTATGACAAGCGAGCAGCCCCAGAGTTAAGATGTGCCAGCCCTGGACGCAAAGGTCATAGAATGGGAAAAGGTCAAGGAGCTTGTGAAGGTCACCTCAGAGGTGAAGGTCATCCAAGTGGCAAATTAAGTCAACAAGGCTGCAAAGGTCGCCCAAAGTGTGAACGTCCAACAATGGACGAAAGTCGCCCAGGCTGCAAAAATCGCCCACAAGGATGTAGAAAAGACAAAGCTCCAAACCTGGGAGAGGATGGCCGAGGGAAATGTTGGAGAAAATCACAGGCCAGTGGATTCAGGCCTGGTCACTTATCAGTAAGTGGCTGTTCTTTTTTTCTTTAGCCTAAATTTATTTTTCGTAGATTTTACAAAAGGAATTTGACTCCAGCTGCTGTTCCATTTGTCCATCTGAGTGGGAAATTTATATGTGTCAGGATGGAATGTGTCAGGAGAAACATACTCTCTCTCTTTCTAAGATTCTGTTACTGTTTTGTGATGTCTGATAAATGATCATAACGCTCTTCTCTATGAGTAAATTTGTAAATGTAGTTTTTGCCCTTAAAACAAAAACCAAAACCAAACAAAACAACAACAACAACAACAACAATAAACAAACAAATATTAGAAGCAAACAAACAATCAATCAAACAAACAAACAAATAAAACTTACTATGACAAACTAACAAATATACAAACTAATCACTACATAAGTTAAATGCAGTATAATGCGTTTTAAGCCTCCTGTAAATCTTGTCGTGACGGAAAACACCAGAATGTATAGCCATGGGAAAGAGTGTACGCATTCTGATCTGATCTTCAAGAACTTAACCTGTGACAATCCTTCTGAACGTTTCCATTTTCTTCTCAAACAGAGCCAGGTGCCCAGACAGATTCGATCCTGGACCAAATGGTTCATCCTGACCTGGAGACTGGACCACCAGATCCCCACCTCTGTACCCGCCCACCTCTCAGACACAGGGAAGGTCAAGGCCGACAATGCCAAGGACGCTGGAGTGCCTGAGGACTACGTCACGTGGTTGTTGAGGTTTCTGCCCAGATGGCACGTGAGGACGGGTCAGGTGGACCAGAGCAAAGTGGACGTTCCAGAAGTGAGGATGGGACAATTGAAGGTGGGTTTGACAGTATGGTAGATTGTGGTTTTAATGCTCTTTCAATACAGACAAATACCCAACTCATGATATCATCATAACATTATGTTATATAATCCTTTCACCATAAGATATAATAATATAGTATGGCCTAATGCGCTCTCTGATTATTGATTCTCTAGCCAGCTGACCATGCATTATCCACTTTGTGTCTCTGTGTTGGAGGGTGCCATTTGTAGGGCATACTTCTTTTGTTCTTTCCCCTCTGTTGTTTCTGTCTGAGTGCCTTGTCCTTTCCCAGCACTGAATGGTCATTATTGAAACAATGTGTCCTTCTTTATTCAAACAAAATAGATGGTCATATTGGTGGTGGTTGGAAAGCGCCATTGGTAGGACTTAGCTCTTTTATTCCTTTCAATCGTTGTCTTTGTCCGAAGGTTTTGCTTTTTCTCCGCACTGAAGGATTGTTTTTGTGTAGATGTGCGCCTCTTTACTCAAACAAACCAGCTAACCATGTACTGTCCACTGTGTGTCCACAGGAGCTGGTCCCCCGCGAGTTCCGAGACTGGGTCAAGCGTTACCTGTACAGACACTACAGTCACCACCCGGCACGAAGGGGAGGGGAGAGGGGGGAGGAAGAGGAGGAGGAACGATACCGACGCTGGCTACAGGTGTTCAAGAAGAAATGGCAGCTGCAACAGGTCACTTCCGGTGACCTTGACCCTCTCTGTCCTAGCAGCAGCAGCGAGGAGGAGGGGGAGGAGCCAGGAGCAGCCATTGTGACCTCTGACCCCGACACAGACGTAGAGGTCATGGAGACCTCGATGAAACATCTCAGGCTGGGGCGGGAAATCCCACAGAGAGATGGTCAGTTTGCTGTGACCGCCGGACGTGTCAATCTTCCGGACAGTGACAATGACGATAACGGAAGGGACGCGTTTAAAGGGAAAATGGTGAGTTATTTTACATAGATGAAATCTGTGTCTTTATGTTTGACCCAAAGTGGCTTAAATCAAAACAGACTAGTAATAACATTCTCGATTATATGTCTTCTTATTGCAGAAGCAGGAGCTGCTGCTGCTGCTGCTGTTGTTGTTGTTACTGTTGCTGCTGATGATGATGATGATTATGATGAGTGATGATGATGATGGTGTTTTAAATTGTAACATTTCTTACAACAGACCATGTAACAATAACGTTGTTTTGTCCTTTCCTCCCTCAGCCTCGTTCTCCTGCGTTCCGGCGTTTCGCCAGAGAGCTGCTCTACGACTGGGACGGGAGATCACCCACTGACGACACCGATAACGATATGGAGTTACCTCCCCGTGTTTACAGATGGCTAGGTCGTGTGATGAAGAGGGTGGAGAAAAAAAGGACGAGGCGAGAGAGGAAGGCAGCCAAGCAAGAGATGGAAGCTGTGAGACAGGGATAATAACACAGGCCAAGTCTGAAAATACATGAAAGCAACACATGAATGTTTAATATAAGAAATGATGTAATTCCACTTCTCTGTTGAAGCAATTTTGTTTGAATAGAAAAATAAGCCTCATTTGATGTATACTCGTGAAGGTCTGGTCAAAGCAATTAAGATGTCATTTTTAGATAACATGTGATAATGTATGCGTCATTTGACTGTTATTGGTACTACATAGTATGTCCAACCACAGGTTGAGTAACAAACGTTTTTGATACTGTCAAGCATGTTAGCGAAAAAAACAACTTTAGATTGGGCAACAATTGTAACGTGTCTTGAGCTTTGCAAGGCGCCCACAAAATAACTTTAAAAAAACAACGCTGCACAGTGGGGACCATCGTTAGATCATTTGTGGTTTATTGGAATTAGAATGCTTAAGGTTTAATAATAGTTATGAGAATCTTATTACGTTTTATGCCTCAATATTACTTTAAACTACAAAACATGTTGAGACAACTCAGAGGAAGATAATTGTATAAGGAAAGCTTCGACACTGCCTTTCATTATGTAAATTTTTCTCTCATCAAATGAAGATCTTAGCATCTACAGCTTGTCCTTGCGGTTTTAATCTAGTTAAAGTACACATTTCTTTCTTAAGCCATTACTTCTGACATGTGAGATATTTTGACATACGTTCTACTTACTGTGTCAGATAATTGATGTATTGTTATCGCCCACACTGTTCACGCGTATTACAGCAGTCTCCCATCATGATGACAACCATAAATAATATTACATTCAGCGTGCAATGTTATTCTAGGCTATATGTCAGTTACTTAGCGAGATATTTACTAATTGTGAAAATTTTACTTTGTATAGTTTTCTAATTTTTGTTCTGTACATTATGATGCATTGTGGGCCTTTTTCCGTGTTTCTGTTCCTTTTGTTGATGCATTATTTTCAAATGTGTGTTGAGCATTTGTAATCAATAAAAGAAATAAACACGTCATAAAAATCTTTAACGCATGCCTTGTCGTTGTTATTCACATTGGTAATGCCTAGATCACATTAGTTTGTTGTTTAATATTTTAAGTGCTCAATGCCTTTTTCATGGCGTCTGTGGTGTAACAGTATTTTGCTATGCTATCGCATGCCGAACACACAAGTTCGATCTTTATGTGGGTAGGTTTTCGTCATCGACTATCCCCGTCTGTCTGCTGGGATGTTGTACCCCTCTCGGCCCGGATTGGCCGTGACAGGCAGGATCCAAGCAGCCTGCCTTCCAAGTGATCAAAAGTGTGTCGATAGGGGCAGAAAAGATCTGCAACTACATTTTAAAAAATTAATAGCTCCTTTTTCAAATATGTGATGTGAAATAAGCTGGATCTACAATGTAACATTCTTCTCTCGCGCCAGTAAAACTGAGCCAATGGTTGGAGAGAAACAGCCCCCCCCCCCCCAATTTCCCCCCTTCCCCCTTCCCCCTCCCCCCTTCCTAAAAATGCGAAATAAAAAATATCCTTGCTAAATCTTTGGACTAAGGCCACTCACACCCAAGTCCATTCTGATAACATCTGAACTTGCGGAACGTACAGCCCATAATAAGGTCTTCGGGATTCTGTTTAGTGCATTCACAGTGGAAAAGTAAACTTGCGCCCTCCATCCTGAACTTACTTGATCTGTACGCACATCCAGGGTCTCCACTCTCTCTCTGTGGCCACATGTATGTATAGGTCGCACTGACGCCATGTTTGATCGATGCTTTTAACTCATTTTAAGAATGGACAGGGCGGGTACTTTTACCCGTTCGCAAAAGCGTTGCTGATACTCGGTAAGTTGATAGCTCTATAAGTATCAACCTGGACTGAGGTGATAATGACTCTTTAAAAAAAAAACACAACTTGGTGTGTTTACGCCTCCATCGCCACAATTTAGACCATGTAGAAACGGGCTTCGACCCTGCCTGTCAGAGCAAATCCGAACTGAAAGGGATACAACGTCTCAGCAGATCAGCAATACACCATTTTTAAAAACCCCGATGGTAATCTTTCTCACTCCATCTAGGTGCAACAGCGAAACGCCTAACCACTACACAACAGACGTCGGTGTATAAGAAATGTGAGGGCACAATAATACACAAAAGTGCGTATAACGCTCATGATATCTAGGCACAAACGTCAGATATTTTACGAACAGAAGGATAATGCTTTGAACGGGTGTACAGAAAATACGTCTGTGTTATGTTTAACACGATATTCGTTAGCTAAATGTTATGTGGAGGAAGTCAACTGCGAATTGTTGGACATGAAGATCTTGTGCAACGTTTCCAGGCTTGGGCGTATTGCTCCCTCGTTTAGGCACAGAAATTGCGAGATTGTATGAGTTTAACGCGCCTTTAACACTGCAATATTTTAGAGACAAGACCTCCGGATTTAAACTCCTAAGTTGAAGAGGTATTTGGAAGGGCTTTCTGTTGATACCAAAATACAAGGTGATTTATAATTATATGTGAGGACTGCTTGACAGAGAAACTTTATTCTGAGACAGACCTCGTAACTAAGATGACCACTTTCCTCCGCGGCAAATGATGGTAGTATTGGACAGGTCTGGCTGCACTTTGTTCAGGTATTTTATACATTAAGTTCAGCACAAAAGCAGTACAATGACTAGACAGAGTCATCAGAATAGGATATTACACCGTATAATATATTTATCCCTACTGCACAGTACTTTGGATTTGAAACACGGTTCATAAATTCATCAAGGCGAATGAAATCTTGGGTACGTTACAAATGTATTGGTGTTTAAAAAATTGCTCTCCAACATAAAAGAATCAGGCTGCAAGGACCACGGGGAGACGACAAAATAAAAACTTGGGTATATGGAGTCATAAAGGTCATTCTACATAATGGCATATCTGCAACAAAAAACAACCACCTATAATAATTATAGTTCTGGAGCAAAAACTACACCTCACCGCCCTCTACATCTATCGAATAAAGAGGGAGGGAAAAGGACAAGTAAACGCAAGTAATCAAATACTGCACGGCTGAATAAGGAAGAACATGACCGTGCAGATTCGGGAGCCGTTAAACTTTTACCAAGACAAAACAGACCATGTACGAGAGAGCGAGAGCGAGCGAGAGAGAGAGAGAGAGAGAGAGAGAGAGAGAGAGAGAGAGAGAGAGAGAGAGAGAGACAGACAGACAGACAGACAGACAGACAGACAGACAGACAGACAGACAGACAGACAGACAGACAGACAGACAGACAGACAGAGACAGCGAGAGAGAGAGAGAGAGAGAGACAGAGAGAGAGAGAGAGAGAGAGAGAGAGAGAGAGAGAGAGAGAGAGAGAGAGAGAGAGAGAGAGAGAGAGAGAATTCTGGTGTTTCAGTATTAGTGTTTTTAGTTTTATATTTTTGAGTTGTTATTTAAATTTAATCTGACGGGGAAAAGGGGAAGGGGGGGGGGGTGTCTCTGACGTGGGGGTTGACATCTTTTGTGTGTACTGACTTCGTCTATTTCCCAACTGTTGTGTCCGTCTATCGATTAAAGGTCCAGTTTGACAAAGACCGCTTTGCGAAGGATCTACTATAGTAGGGTGTTGAACTTTCAGACAAAGACAGATAAATAAGCTCCATACTCACTTTTTTTTCTTTAGTATGATCATACCAACAAGCCAAAGACTAATTGAAATTATTATGTATGATTTCTCTGTCTGTCAGTGTTTGTCTGTTTTTCTGTCTGGTTGTCTATCTGTCTGTCTGTCTTCTGTCTATCTGTCCCCCCCCCCCTCCAGCATCACTCTCTGATCACTTTTCTTTCTCTCTCTTTTTATCTCTGCCTGTCTCTGTCTCTATCTCTGTTTTTGTCTCTGTCTCTGTCTGTCTCTCTGTCTGCCTGTCTGTCTGTCTGTCTGTCTGTCTGTCTGTCTTTCTCTCTCTCTATCTCTCTCTCTCTCTCTCTCTCTCTCTCTCTCTCTCTCTCTCTCTCTCTCTGTGTCTCTCTTTCTCTCTCTCTCTGTCTGTCTGTCTGTCTCTCTCTCTCTCTGTCTCTCTCTCTCTCTCTCTCTCTCTCTCTCTCTCTCTCTCTCTCGATAGACAAATCAATCCCCTCTGTACTGAGTTCACGAGTCTACACCATAGAAATATACCGCTCCGAGGGGTTAGCAGTTAGCAGACAAAAGGAAAAGACTATACGTGCAAATGAACTTAGAAAACAGAACATTATATAATTCTACTGGTGCAAAAAATACCCACAGGTGACAAATACGGTATACTGTAGTTATGAATATCAAACACAGAAAAGGGTTCATGGTTTTCATAATATATTTATTTTTCTAACTTTAAAAAGTCACAAAATGCAACATAATATAATAATACACGTACTGGAAAATTGAGCTTGACATGAAGGCACATTCAAGGAAGATAACAACAGAGTTTCCTGCAAACTGACAAAAATGCCTGTGCATATTATTATGTGAGGAAAATGTGTGCATGTATATGTATGGTTGTGTATGTGTGGTTCCTTATGTATGTGTATGTATGTGTATGTGTGTGTGCGTGTTTGTGTGTGTATGTGTGTGTGTGTGTATGTGTGAGTATGTGTGTGTGTGTGTGTGTGTGTGTGTGTGTGTGTGTGTGTGTGTGTATGTGTTGGCTTGTGGAAATGACTTTAATGTTGGTGAACCAGGTTTCGCTCTGAGAGACCTCAATATGTGTGGAAAAGAAAATCGAATATCAAAATGTGGCTCTGGCAGAAATGTAATTTTCATTGATTTCAAAATCAATAAATACATTTTGAAACATGCAAAGGTATGAAATCTCAAAGTCTGAAACTAAAACATCTTTTTACTCCATTGGGTATATTCATACCAAGTCTAAAAAAACCCCTGTCATTCCACTAAAATTGTATACGATATTTTGTAGAAAGAGAATTGAAATAACATCTGATTCTTATTCCGAATTGTTTGCTCAGTCACAAACCACTGCTATCCCACATGTTCATCATTCCCAACATTTCTGCTGCTGTCACAAAACACTCACAGATAGTATGATCAAAGGCTAAAACTCCACTTGAACAGTGTAAGCTTGACAATGCATCAATGACACGGATAAGAAAACTATAATAGTATGCTTATGTATATAGTTTACATGTAAATTATTATTGTAAAGACGTCTCTTTAAAGAAATCAAAAGGGAATAAAACCGTGATAAGAATCCAGATCATTTTATTAGGCTTGCAAGGAAGTTCAAAACAGACTGGGCAAAGTACATCATGTACCTTCCTTAAGAATACAGCATTCCACGTGGCCGAGCCAGGAATTCAACTCCAAATCTTTCTAATTGCAAGTACAATATTAACATTTATTTATTGTCTGTATCATAAACTCACAAAAAACTCCGCTGAAATACAAGTGGCATTCGAAGCGAAGCAGACATCTTTTGAGTTAGGGAAAGGTTGATTTACTTTGTCCAAAGCAAAACCCAACTTGCCACTATTCAAAAGTTCTTGTCAGTCACATTGCTTTATAGCATTCTGAATGAACTGTTTTTACAGAACTCGAAAACTGGTGCTTATGGGAGAACTACATAAGACATAATATATAATACAAATGTACATAAATCATCATAAAATTCGACGATATCTCAAAAGTGGCTTCAAAAATCGAACCATTACACTCTTGAGCGAAATCTAAAAATACCCAGCGGGTTATTGCTAGATCTATACATGTCGCACGAGTAAATCTGAGGCCAGCATCTTTACAAGATCAATTTTGTAACAAAAAACATTTGACTCTTTATTTTCAGAAAGACACATTTCTGAGCTTTTTCAGTAGTTTATATTCCCCGTCTGACATCTTCCATCTCTTGCATGGCTGCCATCCTCCCTTGTCTTGTCCTTTTTTTCTCCACCTTCTTCATCACACGACCTAGCCATCTGTAGACACGGGGAGGTAACTCCATGTCGTCATCGGTGTCGTCAGTGGGTGATCTCCCGTCCCAGTCGTAGAGCAGCTCTCTGGCAAAACGCCGGAACGCAGGAGAACGAGGCTGAGGGAGGAAAGGACAAAACAACGTTATTGTTACATTGTCTGTTGTAAGAAACGTACATCCTGAAGATAAAAGGCAGGAACGTTGAAGGAAAGAAATGGTATACATGCATGTGTGGGTGACGGACAAGAGGGGGGGGGGGGGCTAAAACTATCAATGCAGGGACATTTGTGACACATGCCTGATATGAGAGTGGCGTTTTGGCAGGGGCGAGCTGGAAAAAGCGAAAGGGAGGGGGGGGGTAAAGTTGATCCTCCTCCTCCTCCTCATCATCATCAGGAACAACAAGAACAAGGACAACAACAACAACAACAAGAAAAACAAAAACAACAGCAGCAACAACAGTAACCCCAAAAATAACAACAACAACAACAATAACAACAAAAATAACAACAACAACAATAACAACAACAGGGAGACACATTACTGAGAAAATTATTACAAACTCGTTTTGATCAAAGTTACGTGGGATCAAATATTATGGAGAAATTGATGTCATTTACGTTAACTGACTCACCATTTTCTCTGTAAACTCGACGTTTCCCTTGTCATCATAGCCACTGTCCGGAAGATCGACACGTCCGGCGGTCACGGCAAACTGACCATCTCTCTGTGGGATTTCCCGCCCCAGCCTGAGACGTTTCATCGAGGACTCCATGACCTCTACGTCTGTGTCAGGGTCAGAGGTCACAATGGCTGCTCCTGGCTCCTTCTCCTCCTCCTCGCTGCTGCTGTTGTTGGGACACAGTGGACCAAGGTCACCGGAAGTGACCTGTTGCAGCAGCCATTTCTTCTTGAAAACCTGTAGCCAGCGTCGGTATCGTTCCTCCTCCTCCTCCTCCTCCCCCCTCTCCCCTCCGCTCTGTGCCGGGTGGTGACTGTAGTGTCTGTACAAGTAACGCTTGACCCAGTCTCGGAACTCCCGGGGTACCAGCTCCTGTGGACACACAGTGGACAGTACATGGTCAGCTGGTTTTGTTTGAGTTAAGAAGGACACATCAACACAATAACAATCATTAGATGTGGAGAAAAAGCAAAACTTACAAACAAAAACAATTGTGGGAACGAAAAAAGAAGTTAGTTGTTGGGGTTTGTACATCTAAAGAGATGGCGACAATTTTAATGCCCCCACCGGTATATCTCTATACTTTAGGCGACGGGCTGCTTCGACTTATGTGTTGAAAGAATGTTAAAACCACAATCTGTCATGTGGTCAAACCCACCTTCAACTGCCCCCTCCTCACTTCTTGAACGTCCACTTTGCTCTGGTCCACCTGACCCGTCCTCACGTGCCATCTGGGCAGAAATGTCAACAACCACGTGACATAGTCCTCAGGCACTCCAGCGTCCTTGACATTGTCAGAGAGGTAGGTGGGTACAGAGGTGGGGATCTGATGGTCCAGTCTCCAGGTCATGATGAACCGTTTTGTCCACGATCGAATCTGTCTGGGCACCTGGCTCTGATGGAAAAAAAGAGAGAAAAAAAACGTTGTTAGAAGGGTTGCTCGGATAGAAATCTTAAATGGCTACTATTCATAATATGAATAATTATATTATAATCCTAAAGGCCATGAACATAAGGAGACTAAGTCTTGAACGCATAGAATAAAAAAAGAAAAAACTTGAATACATAAAGGTTTTAGAACCCAATGTTGATTCCGACAACTTAAATTGATTCCAAAATTATTCTGTACTTACTGGTTTTGTTTGGATTTCTTGACATCGACACAAAAATGTTCTTGATAAACCTATAAACAGTACCCTCTACATATAAAACACAGCCGCCGGTTATGGGTTTTTTCTCTTCTCTTGCCCTCCAACAAAAGTTAGTATGCTCAATACTCCACCCCCCCCCCCTGAAAACAATAATAAACTGCTCCAACCTCGCAAATATAGGTACACATTGTAGTTATTGCAACCAACTCATTTTTTAAAATGTGAAACTTGGAAAATTACTCCCAAAATAGATTCTATTCAGATACAGAGTAGTTCTTTACCTAGGTGGACAGGCATGACAAAAGCAGGAGTCCGGTATCAACTGTCTTAAGTAAATCCTCAGAAAAACAAACATTAGACAATAAACAAACATTAGACAATAAACAAACAATAGACAATAAACAAACAATAGACAACAAGTGAAAGTAAAGCCACTTACCGTCACGTGACCAGACCTTGGTCCACACACCTGGGATTTCTTCCCCCACTTCCCAGTGCCATCTTCTCCAAGGTCAGGAGTTCTGTCTTTGCTGCATCCTTCTGGGCGACCTTTGCAGCCTCTGTTACTTTTCCCCCTCGTTTGACCTTCACTTTCTGCGTAACCTCTGAAGCCTCGGTGGCTTTTGTCCTTTGTTTGACCCTCGCACTTCGAATGACCTTTGCACCCTCTGTGACCCTTACGTCCAGGGCTGGCACATCTAAATTCTGGGGCTGCTCGCTTGCCATAACGTCTGGCCAGGTACCATCTCATCCACCGGCGGAATTCCACGGGCACAGATTTCTGTTGGAAAAGTATAAAAAGGTAAAATGTTGATCCAGGGGAGAGCACCGTGGAAATGGTACTAGATATTGAGGTCTATGAGCTATATTCCTTTCTTTGATTAAAACAAGTGACTTCAAATTGTACACAAATCCTTGATAACGATAAATAATTCAATTTTTGTAGTTCATTTCATTATCCCATTAGGCACGCATCCTCAGAATGCAAAACCGAGAAGCTTTGAGTCGCTTCTTTTTATCCCCCTGAAAGTAAAAGGATTGCAGAATTGTTGTTTTTTAAATTTATATGTATGAGTACATGTATTTTGCATTATATACTGACATTTTAGTTCGGATTTTTAAAAATAAATACCAAAAACTTTTTTTACATTTGAGTTTTAAAAAAGAATTGCTACAATGCAAACATCACCAGCCGGATGGTGTTACTCACCCTGAGAGTCGCCATATTGCTGACAGCGCCACCCTCATCAGAATCACTCCCATCATGCCCCGCAGCACAGACTTCCGCTGTCTCCCATCTCTTGTGGAACTTGGTCAACACCTTGACCAGCCAGACCTCGTAAGCCTCCGGCACTCCGGCCTCCTCCCTCGTCATGGTCTTCCCCTTCTTCTCTTGCCCGCTGTCGCTGGATGTCGTCGTGCTGACGTTCTCGAGGTTTTCTTTTCTCCAGTTGTGGACGTAGATCTTGGCCCAACGACGCTGGCTCACGGGGACAGATTCCTGGACAAGACACAGGCAGTGGTCAGTTAAGATAGTGGACAAGACACAGATACTGGTTAGTTAAGATACTGCTGGTTAAGACAAGCATTAACTTTTTTTTAAATGTTCCTTGTTTTAAACGGAGTTTTCTGATCCGTCCTTAAATCTGTTGCCTATGGTAGCACTTTCAAAGTGACCAACGCGGGAAAAGTTTGTTTAACATAAGGCATAAAGACCATTTTTATTAAATTGGTATTTATTTCTTTTGTTTGCTTGATTGTCTTTTTAATGGGATGTCTGGTCATGACACACTTTTTGTGCAATGTGTTATGAAAGATGAACTGATTCGATAGGATTTGGATTTCCATTTCCCTGGAACCAATCTGGCATAAGGCAAAAACTTACCCTCAGCGACTTCTTCCAGTCTCGCTTTTCGCTGCTCTTCTCTCGCCTGCCAGCGTGTAGCCCCTGGGCCATCTCTCCCTGGCCATCACATGGGCCACATGGCCCGGCCGGTGACTGGTGCCTTCTCTTCCAGGGTCCGTGGTTCTGACCTCTTCGCCTCCTACATCCAAATCCGCCATGTTGTCCAAACATTCCGTACAGAGAAGTGGGCGTGCCGTGTGGGAGGGGCAAACCCTCGTGACTGACAGCAGCCGGTACCTCTCTGTTGTGTCGTACACGAGTGACCTCAGACTCCGGATCTGTGCTAAGCCCCGCCTCTTCCTCCATCATCTGATCCACATTGCCGGACTGACCATCAACTACTGAAGAAGGAAAACAAATATAAGAGATGTTATTAGTCGGATCGTATGGGAATGAACTCAATGATTTGTATATGTGTGTGTGGGAGGAGGGGGGGGGTAATTTTTTTTAAATTTTGGATTTGTTTTGTTTTAATTGTTTATGGTGGTGGAAATGTCTTGATACAATGTGCATTGGCACAACCTGATTTTGGATACAAAAAATCTATTTTAAAAAAGAACACTCTTTTAACCTATTATGTTGTGGACTCTTTGAGAACTTACAAACACAATTGAAATACGAGCCAACGAAAAAGCCTGTACTCACCATTGATGTAGACTTTGAGCCGTCCTGTGGAACTATGTGTCAGAGCCTCTTGTAACTCTTCATCAGTGGACATCTGGACAAAGTCACCGTCCGGGTCTGGGGAGGGAACACACACTGCTACATGTTTTACATCGTTTATTGTGAGATCTTTATAATATAGTCTGAACTTTTATCTTTCTTTATTTCTTTCTACATCTCTCTCTCTCTCTCTCTCTCTCTCTCTCTCTCTCTCTCT